TCGGTCTACGGTGTTACGCGACCGTCGACAATGCCTGTATGACAACTTGTCCGCCCTAGCATATCCTCAAGGAAACTCTTCGGTGCAGATCAGGATGGGTTTAGAGATCGTTCGCGAAGTACATGACATGCACCAGACCAATATGCACATCTGCGAATGTACGAACGGCATTACTAAAATACGAAACTATCTGGTACATGAAGCATCCAGAAACATACAATTTCCTCGAAAGACGAGTACACTCAGAAGATAACACCGCCTCTTGCAAGAGGATTACGCAGTAAGTGGGATTCAATCATCCTCGAAGACTTCGCGAATCTCAATTTCGACGTCGGGCTGCGCCTTCCTCGACGTCCGCCTAGCACGCTTCTTGGGCGGCGGCGAAACCTCTATCACGTCGTCCTCGAAGTCGGAGTCGGACTCATGCTCGTCGTCTTCTTCGGCCTTCACCTTCACCTTCGGCGCGGCTGCCTTGCGCGGTGCGCGTTTTCTCTTTGTCGAACCGGAGGCAGGCGCGAAGTCTTCGTCGTCGGTGTCGACTTTCTTCTCGGCTTTAGCTTTGGAAGGGGCCTTAGGTTTGGCAGCCGCTGCTTTACGGCCGCGAACAGCTGTACAAACGACAAGCGTAAGCATACAGCTGGGCGGGCTGATCGAATATGGGATATATGCGGGTGTCGTACGTTTCGGTGCCGGCTCTGGCATAGGCAAACCCTTCCTGTCACAGTACTCCTCCAGCTTCTCTGTTAGCCTGCCCAAACACACAACGAGAAGACAAAGCAGTCAGCGCGCATATAGTACCCACGGCGGTAGGGACAACCTCTCGATCGTCGTCGGGCCCACACCGGTGACCTTCCCGCGCATGTCGACAGGGTGCTCAAACCTCTGCGTGCACACCTCGAGCGCACGAATCGCGTTTTCGTAGCCCGTCGCGCGTGGGGGGCCGCCGCGCTTTCGGTAGTCCTTCTCGTCGTGGAAGGCTTTCACCCATCGCAGGAAGAGCGGGTTCGCGCACTTGGGCATAGCGGGTGACAATGGATAGCGAGTGATTTTTACGAGGGTTTACCGCGTGAGAGGTTTGGGTCGAACCTATGCGTGGATGGGCGGCTGTGGCAAGCAAGAGGCAAGTGCGGGTACATTCATGGTCGTGCTGGCGCCCAGTCATGTGACCGCGACAAACCCTTCAGCCGCTGCTGAATCCATCTCGTTCTTGCTCTTACACACCACGTCTTTTAACGTCTGGAACTGGAGCGTATGTACACCGCTATGTACCAGAAACATACCCACTAGTCAAGATGTTCAGATCGCCCTTCAGGTCGGGGAACACATACGTTATTTGCCGCCCAACTCTGATCTTGCCAGGCTCCGAGTCAACAACCAGGCCTTCTATCCTTGCTCTCCACGCAGCCAAACGCTCCCTCGACCGTGCTTGGCCTCCCGGCTTGATCATCGCCATGCCATCGAAGCCCTGGCACATCACAATGGCCCACCACAAATCCTGCTTCCACTCCTCCTCGAAGTCTCCTCCAGCCGCCGCGCGCACTTCCGTCCAAGAAGGGTTCCATCTCGTGCTTCTCAAGAGATGTGCAAGCCCAAGTTGGTTCATGTGCTCTTGGAACTTTTGGCCCGAGTTTTCGTCCAGGAAGGGTGCATAAACACCGACAGCCTCAACAGCCCGGCGCGGACCGACAGTGCTCCCGTCCGCAGATTCCTGATAATAATAGCACGCCCAGTCTGGAATGCAGTACTTGACGAACTCGAGGCGCGTGTCGACGTCCATCGCCTCGGGCACCGCGCCGGTCTCGAGGAACGCGTCGAACGCGGGCGCGAAGAGCTCGCCGTGCGTGACGAGGTGGAAGAAGGTCTTGGGCGGGTCCGCGTCGATCGTCGACGCCGCCGTTCCAGAAGTTGGGTGTGGCATACCACTGCTCGCCGACGCACTTGTCGATGAGGTCTACGACGGGGTTGATCGTCGAGAAGCGCATTTCGTGCAGCTCGCGGATGCGCTCCATCGTCAAGCCCGCGTGCTTGAGGGCGAGCTCTAAGAGGCCTTCCATGCTCTTGCGGAAGGCGGTACGGAGCTCGGCGGTGTTCTCGGACGAGAGGGACGCCCATTCGCTTACTTGACGGGCGGTGGCGGCGACGAGGAAGTGTGGGTCGGGTCGGAAGAATATCCGCGACGCTGCAGCCGCGAGGTGGAGGATCGTTCGAGGCGAGGCTTGTAGGGACAGTTCATGAAGCAGACGACACGTCGCGGCGAGGTTGATGAAGTCTTCAATGTCGCGAAGGTAGAGAGGCAGAGACAGATGGATATCTGCCGGGAGCGACAATAGAGAAGATTGAGCACCAGCCATGCTTTTTCCTGTGAATCGGCTCTCCTATCAATTGGCAAGTTGAGTCTCACCTGGCTAGTGGGCGGATACTAAAGGTAAGACGCACCAGTGACTTGTCGTGTGTCTGCAGCCGGGGATTTGACTGAAGTATCTCGGAGTCGGATCCACCATTTGTTCAATGCATGTGAGTAGCGTGGCTGTCCGACGAGAAGCATGAATAGCAGACTGACCTTGATCCGCTCAATCAGGCATAGCAAACGAAGTATCGATAGGCAGTCTAGCGAAGCGCGCACAGGTATCGGATGGCCTCGGGCGACGCAAGTACCCACTCTCCCCACAGAACTGGAGAGCGTCGACGGTCGGCAAGATACTGGTACGGTAACTCGTCAGCGCCTCAGCGGGGAGAGGACTCAGCTGGACCTCGGGATGATCCCGGCTGACCACCGCTCATGGAGCGGAAGTCACTCGAACCTGCGTGCGCACGAGGCGAAAATGCCTACCTATTCTTTTGCTGTGCAAATTTCAAAAGGTGCGACCAATCACTCGATGCGCTGCGTCTGCAATATTAGCATCGGTCAGTCGTCGGGCCAACCCGAGAGTGAGCGTTTCAGCAGCGGGCGTACAAGCGTTGCTGCTGGGAGTGAGGCAGTGTTGTATCATATGCACTGAGCCAACACACACAAGGCCACTGTCGCACGTCATGTTTGCTTGGCCGAGCCATGTACGTGGTCAAAGTGATCGACTGAAATGCTGAGTCACGATGACTAGCTGTACTCATCGGCGTGATACTGTCACGCTCTCACAGGCTTCAGACATCCTTGGGGATGGCATGCAGTTTATTCATGTGGTGGCTGATTGGTACACAAGTGTACGAAGGAGCTCAAGGTCTTCTGCAAAACATCTAATCTAAACTGAACTCTCAGTACACCGCACTCAAACCCGTCGGTCTATGTTCTGAATTCACGCAACAGGTCTCACCCTGCCCGTTGTGATATCCACATCCTTGATGAGGTCAGGGAATACGTAGGTTTCCCACTCATGAACCTTGACCTTGTCGGGCCTCTGACTCGCCGGCATTGCCGCGATTCTAGCTCTCCAGGCAGCCAATCGTTCCCTTCACGGCCCGAGGTCTCCTGGTCTGATCATCTTGAGGCCCTCGAGGCCCTGGCACATCACGATGGCCCACCACAAGTCCTGCTTCCACCCCTCCTCGAAATCGCCCCCTACGGCCGCGCGTACCTCCGACCACGAAGGCTTCCATCGCGAGCTGCGCAGCAGGTGCCTGAGCCCCCACTGGTTCGGGCGGTTTGCGACTTCCGTGGAAAAGTTGCCCGCGATGCCGTCCGCGTTAGGGGTGTAAGGCCCGACGGACTCGACAGCCCTGCGCGCATCCACCACAACGCCCCAATGCGGACTACGCGGATGCTGCAACTGCCAGCAGTGCCAATCCTGCACGCAGTACTTGATGAATTCCAGCCTCGTATCGACGTTGAGGGCCTCCGGCACCACGCTCGTATTGAGGAGCGCGTCGAACGCCGGTGCGAACAGCTCGCCGTACGCGACGAGGTAGAAAAAAACGTCGGGCGCGTCGACGTTGATCGTCCACGCGTCATTCACGCCGCCTTCCCAGAAATTGGGCGTGGAACACCACTGCACGCCAACGCACTTGTCGATGAGGTCCGTCACGGGGTTGGTCGTCGAGAAGCGCATCTCGTAGAGCTCGCGGATGCGCTCCTGCGTAAGGCCCGCGTGCTCGAGTGCGAGCTCCATGAGGCCCTCGAAGCCCTTGCGGAAGGCGAGACGGAGCTCGGCAGGCTCGGCAGTGTTGGCGGACGAGAGGGACGCCCAGTCGCTCACTTGACGGGCCGTAGCAGCTACGAGGAAGTGTGGGTCGGGCCGGAAGAAGATCCTCGATGCCGCGGCAGCCAGGTGAAGGCGAGGTATGTAGGGACAGTTCGTGGAGAAGACGACACGTCGCGGCGCGGTTGATGAAGCCCTCGATGTCGCGAAGGTAGAAAGGGAGAGACAATGAAGTCTACTGGCAGCGACAACAGCGAAGGCATCTTCTCGCCTGATGAGGTACTGGTACGAATGCTAAGTTCGGTGGGTACGGAGTGGTGTGAAGCCGAATGGAGACTCACCAATCCCTCTAGCGCTTGCTCTTGACGAAGACGCGCTATACAGTGCCATTGGTGTGCCCTCCACTGTCCAGCGTATACGTATATGTAGCTGCCAAAAGCTTGTTGAGTGAGTCAGTGACCGATGTACAGCCCGTTCCGCGTCGCGTTTTCTGGCACTCGAGTGGCAGACGAACCCTTGAAAGATGACAATGTTGCGACTCAGAGAACGCGTTCTCGGTGTCGCTTTCCGGTGAGAATGATTCGTTTCAATTTGTCATGAACTTCCGTTGACGCGGAACACAGGCTGGCATGCATTAAACCTGACATGTGCTGTGGGCTGGTTCAGAGCATCGTAGCCATTGGACAACATTGATACAGTCCTTACATATGCCTCCAAATCCCCATAGCCGCATCTGCGTCATCATTTGTATATGGAAGTTCGAGTACAGCGGGTTCAACATTAGTTCACCAACATGTAGTTCGGCTACGAAAGCTTGTCACCATCGCCACGCCGGCGCGGCGTGACGCACAACTAGATACGCACTCGACGATATGCCATTCTACGTGCGAGTGAAAGCAGGACGTGTTTGAGCCTCACCAAGAACAGGAATAGAGCAGGATGATGTCTTGACATACTGATGAGCTACGCACTGGCACGACACTCTCCAGAATTCATGTGACTTACTGGCTGGTCACTCGGACAATGGCGGACAGAAATCAAGGGGAGTCACCAGTTGAACGGCTTGACCTTAAGATCCCAATGATGCGTCTGAACCGTGACCGTCAACAAGTCCACGACAGACTCTAGATCGGCCTTGATCTCCTGAAAGTCATCGGGCAGCCTATAGTCGACAGCTAACGCATACGGGCCGGCGTTATAAGCAGAGCCCCATTTGGGCCACGCAGTCGGTTTCCGGGGTTCCGCTACAAGGCAAAGGGTCTGCAGGCGGCGACAGCCGCCTGCAGTACGAGCTCGCAGCGCCGCATGGAGGGCATCGAACATTGTCCGACCATTGACGTCGTGGCGCACCAGAGGATTGAACCGAATAACAAGTTTGTGCAGCCGTGTGCAGGGAATACCAGCAGGGCTCGGCGCAAGAGCAGGTGGGAGGGCACATACGCTACAAGCATCCGCCACGACCTCGAGATGCTCGAGATTTGGGAAGGCGGTGAGCAGTCGGATCCAGCTGTGAGTGTCGACACCCTCAGCATCTCCGCATATGACGAGTGTCTGCACGGCTGGTGAGAGATATCCGTCGCCGAGTTCAGCTATAACACCTCGGAGGACGTCGCGGCTCAGGCGAAGTTGGCGATAGTCTAGGGGGTACGTCATATAGACTGATGGCATCGGCGGGATGTCGAGGTCATACGTGACTGGGAGGAATCTGCGGTCTGATATTCTCCATAGCTGCGATTTCCAGAGTGCGGTGATGTCCGATACAGCGTAGACATCGAGCCTGTGATTAGTGCACCATGCCATGACATGCCGTAGGTTCTGGAGAACAGGCAGCTTCGTGACATCTCGCGGGAGGGCGGCATTGAGGACCGAAAGGTGGTCGTGCTCGTGTTCCGTGGGGAGAATGGCAAAAGTGTCGCGCGCGCGTAAGTCGAGGTAGAGCTGAACGGTCGGCGGCAATGACAAATGCGCCACAACCTTCGAGATGTTTGTTGTTGTCCCAGACATTCGGAGGTGCCGTAAATGGGATAGCGACACAGTGAGGTTCACATCGGCTGCCCACATTTCCTCTTGCACCATATCATTGTATGTGAGCTCTTCCAATGACGTGCAAGCACCCAGGAGCTCTAGGAGGGCCGGAAAAGAAAGTTCACAGGACTCCCTGAGGTCATGATCAAGAACTCTGATCCCCGAGATTGTCAACGATGTCAATTGTGCAAAGGGGAGAGCGCTCCACTGGTCCAGCGTGACACCAGACATGCGGACGTGTCGCAGGCTGGGGAGATGACCTTGTGTGAATTGCAGGGGATAAACCGAGCGTTGGGCTCCTCTGGAAAGCGTGAGATCCATGGAAGTTAGCGAAGGGAGGAAGGTCTTGAAGCTTTGGGTGAGAGTATCGGCAATCCCAGGTTGATCGCCCTCGACGACAACACTGGCAATCCGTAAATGGTGTTGCGCCACGAGCGCAACCAGTATCGAGCAGTCATCATCGACATGGGAGGGGCGATATGCCGGCCGGAAAAGGGTGACAGCCTTGTCGGCCGAGCGCGCGAGGCAGAGGTCCACGAACTCCCGGCTGCTCCGCAAGGAAATGTTCACCCAAAAGACAGGAGAACCCACAATCGAACTCCTCCAGTGCCTGCAAACTCCCATGATCCTGAGCACCCAAAAGCGTCGGATGACCTTCCACCAGTGCGCCTCGGTCCAGGTTAGAAATTCACTGCCGACGAGGTCCAGGGTCTTCACAAGGATCTCGATGGGCAGTCTGTGTATAGCGAGTGTCGCATTGTATGCGCTGTGGAGATCCGCCAGGCAGCAACGGCGTTCTCGAGCTTCGATCTCCAGCCAGCTACGGATCTCCTGGAGTGAGCGACCCCGCAATTGCGAACGCTCGTCCTCTGACAACAGAAGCAGCGGGTTATCGAGGGCGTTTGCCGTCATCTGACGGTGCTGAACTATATTTCTGCCATCAGCATTCTTGCAGCGAGCCTTAGTCTGCATCAGACGAACCGTGAACGATGCAACAAAACACGGAGGACGCCAACGCGGAACGTGTTAGGGATGTGGTGGGTCCGCCTTGAGATGCTGTTCTCACCATCACATGTTCGTTAAGGTTGAGCAGCCTGAGACTCGCGTGGAGGATGTACGTTCATTACGTATAGCAACTCGTTCCGGGCCTGTGACCCTTGGAAGGATCTAGTACCCATTCGTGTGGTGTTGTACGACGTATTGCCCACAAATGCACACAATATTGAAGTCTGCATACTCTCGCGGAAGGGTGTCATAAAACAAGCATTAGTGTGGGGTAGCGCAGAACGAAGGTGGTGGTCAGTAAGTAAGAAAGCCGGAGGCCCAACGGTACTCTGCCGCTCGATTCAAAGTAGTAGGCATAAATTATGCTAGCACATATCCTGACACTCGCCTGTGGGTATCTGTCTGGCATGACCAGCCCAGTGGTGCGGCCGCCCTAGAATTCGGTGCAGGGAGAGGCATGACGTGCAATGATGGCACATCTAAGAGCGGGTGAAGCAGTCCCTCCACGATCGCGAGAACTTGCTGGACGCCATGGGGTAGTTGGTCGCCCCCGCCATGCGGTCCCGTCGACCCGAAGCAGACCGTTCCGCCCGCGAGGAAGAGGAGGATGAACGACACAAACGTCATCCAGAATCCTGCCGATCCGACGAAATCAGAGGCGCGTCGCAATCGAGGTAGAAGCTACGTACCGGGCGCGGTATCTGTATGCGCGTCGACGTTGTCTAGCCTGCCGACTTCGCTCTTCACGTACGCGTAGAGCGCGACATCGACGACTCGGAGGAAGGCGATGAAGGCGACGGTGCCTCCAAGGAAGGACGCGAGGGATGCGAAAAGACGGAGGGTGATGTGGCTCGAGAGACTCGGCAGGAACGCGATCAGCGTCACGCCAGCCGCTGCCAACGCAATCTTGTGAGGAGACCGTGAAGGGACGTGAAGAGAGAAGACACGCACCAACGGGATGGAGCGCGAGTCCGCGAGTCCAGGAAGAACCGATAGAGACAGAGCTAGAGCCGTCGCCGCTGCCGCTGTAAATGATGACATTGTACGCGTTGCCTGGAGGTGCGTGTTAAGGTATGGAGTCCATGCAACATAAGCGGATATACGGACCAGACACGGCCCCCAGAAGGCTCGTACCAGCAGTCTGCCCTGCAGAGATAGAGTCCGCGCACCGAGCCCGACCCACATGAATGAAGTGCCAGACTGATGAGTGTGTCAGGTATGCAGACAAAGACGATCAGATGGATCAAACCTGGACGCACCCTTAGCTCCGTGAGCGCGTTTGAACGGTCGCCACTCGCTGTCGCCTTTCCCTTGCCAATCTCTACGCGCGCAAAGTCAAGCGTCGCCATGTACACGGAAGAACCGATCGCCCGTAAAATTCTGAACCAAATTGGCACTCACCAACACCCGTTCTAACCACGTACATACACGCACGCACAGTACACAGCGTCACTTGCAAATTGGCCTCGCTCGTGCCCTTCAGTGGCTGACGCTAAACTCCACTTGTATTATCGTTTTCTGGCGTTTGAGGATCGAGAAGCACCCTATCTGTCATGAGACTCCGAAGCAGACTCGTGACACAGGTTGGCAAGGGTGCTGATTCGACACGCTATGCCATCTGATCAACACAAGTCCCAAACGACAGTGACAGTACTCACATTGACAGTTCGAAACCGCGGTGGTAGCCACTGGCAATCTGCGGATTGTTTCAATACACATGCGGCCTCGAGTGCCATGGACGAGTGCTCCGGCCTCTTGCACGCTCGACGTACTTCATGGGCACACGAGAAAGCATGTTACGCTCCTGCATACGATTCACGTAGCTGAGTCGGGTTTTCAGGTTCGGCGCTGCGCGTTTGGTCCCCTGGAAAGCACATAACGGTCAGTAGACTCAGTACTTACCAGACGCGCAAGTCCTCCGAGTCTTGCAGTCAGGAAAGAACGGAACGAGCTCGCACATGGAGAGACCGCCACGGAAGAAAGAGGTGGACTTGATGTGGTACTATACATGACTAGCACAAGCAGCGCGTTCAAAGTTGTCAACGGGCTGCCAATGCCTGCCATCGATTCAGGACGATCTGCACCGAGAGCGACCCGACCAAAGATTCCAAAGTTGTTTGGACTTCCTCAAAGCCGAAATCCTCGCTCGTTGGCAAGCGATCGCCGGAAGACGTGAAGGGGGACTCCTCGTCATGGGTAGTGTTCACCACGAGGCTCAGGCTCTCCAAGCGGGAGCCACGTTCCGCGCGTTTCTGCAACGCCGCGGCGAGACCACTGAGCGTCGCCCATCCACCGTTGTCAATGGGATCGAAGTGCAGATAGAGCTCGCGCAAACTTGCGCATGGGACCCCGGCCTCCGAGTCGGTCGGTATGAGAGCAGAAGGGAAGGCGCTTATGTCGGAGTCGTCTGTGATGATGTCGAGGCGGATGAGCTGAGGGAAGGTGTTGAGCAGCCCCGTCCAGGTACCCGTTTCGATATACGTCGGGTCCGTGCACCCGTGTATGACGAGGCTTTCCACGGAGGGGTCGAAGGAGTTTCCAATTCCACGCAGGACTTGATCAAGGAGCCACTCGTCCAATTCATTGTTTGGGTCGGTGAACAGTGACAAGTCGTACACCACGTAGAGCGACGGTGGCTCCGGGACATTTTGGGCGCTCTCGGGCCATCCCTCAAGTGACGGATGGCGCCAGGGCTGAGACTCCCAGAACGACGTGCGCTGTTTATCTGCACAGATGCCGAGTATCTCGTCGTAGGAGGAGGCCCATATCACGACGTGCCGCGCGTTTGACATAAACTGCATGCCCGACATCGTGTGAGGTGGCAAGATGTCGTGGAGTGTGGGGATCTGGCGCTTGATCTCCCCTCCACGATTCAGATCAAAGAGGTGTGTATCCAGCGAGAGGCGAGCACTCTTTGGTAGCGAGATGTGCGACATGACATTTGCGACGTCAGCTGTTCGTCCACAGAAAAAGAATTTCCGTATACGGTGCAGTGGTATAATGCGGTCTGCTCTTGCTCCGTGCTCACAGAGCTCACAGTAGTTTTTGAAGCCGGATTTCCCCCAGGAGAAGTTCTCCAACGACTTGCATGCTTCTAGCATATCGAGGAAAGTGACGAGGCATTGATGATCACCAGGGAGATCGACGAGGGAGAGCCTGAGCGTTACCAGGCGCGACAGCGGGAAATCTGGAGTCAGATCCAAGGTGAACCTTTCAAGGGATAGGCTCCGGAGACTCGGGAGATGTCTCGATTCCAATCGCATGCAGTAGCGTTGCCGTAGAGTAATAAAAGAGTACAGCCTGAGGGAAATTGATGCCAGGCAGGGTAAGAAGGAACTCAGCATCGCCGGCAGTGTAGCAGCGTCTTCGTCGTCGAAGAACCGGAAGTCCGTACGTGCGACCCGCGCGTAATGCGGCTCGAGCAGAGGGGCGAGCACTGATAATCGCGTCCGCCGTAGATATGGACAGGATAGTGTGATACTCGCGCTGCCTGAGCGGGCCAGGAATTGCCGTATGTATTGCGTGTTGTTCGACAACTCGATTCTGGTCCATAAGAGTGGCGTATGGATGATGAGGTCTCTCCAGTAGCGGCATACGCCCATGGATCTGGCCAATACCATCGTGTTGTCGCACCATCCATCCGAGTCGGCACTGGCGAGACGGATGATTTCGACGAAGGTTTCATTGGGGAGCATGCTGACAAAGGGGGTTGCCCGCAGCTCGCTCCCTAACTCTCGCGTTCTGCTGCGTGCAGCCATGGCGCCCTGCAAACAGGACTTATATAAGAGAGCTTGACGAGAAGAATCCAACTAACCTCGATCAGACAGACGTACGAGCTAGAGGCAAGGAACACAGCCAATGAGTCGGATATGCGGCCTGCCCAAGACAAGTCTTGGCCAAGTCTCACTTATAAAGCGCGGTTCCGGCGTGAGAAATGCCGAGAAATGGCGGAGGATTCAAATTGAGAAGGTAAGAAACTATTAGCTGTACTTGCTTGGTACTTACATCGCACAAAACGAGAGTGATTGAGTGGCATTGAATACACGAGGGCCGCTACAGAGACTGCCTCGAGCTGATCATCTCACACTATCCCAGGCAATTTTCAATTTTCAGCTCACGCTAACATGCGAGACTGCTGAAATGCATTGGTCAACACCAAACCGAATCGCCGTGCATAAAACGCAAAGGTGGAAGGAGTCGGAGGTAGACGTAGTGTAATTAACAAACAGTACGTCCATTGTCAACGTGACACTATTCGTTATACCCAATGATCCTCACTGCGAACAAGTCACCTACTAAGGACTCAAAGCTCGCTTGAATCTCTTCGAATTCTTTTGGCAAGTGACAACCGACCGACGACGAAGTGAATGGAGAGACACCCTCTTTTTTGTAGTCCCCAGCACTAGGCTGAGGCCCCTCAGGCGGGAATCGCCCTTCGCGCGTTCAACTAGTGCCGAATTGAGTCTGCCGAGCATCATCCAACCACCCTCCTCGTAGGGATCAAAGCGCATATAGAGGTTCTGTAAACCAGCGCATGGGATCCCGGCGTCTGTTGGTGCGAGAGCAGGAGGGAAACTGTCTGCGTCGCAGTGGTTCTGTATGTCGTCGAGGTGCATGAGCCTCGATAAGGCTGTGAGGCATCTGGATCCAGTGTTCCATCTCGAGCTCCTGGGTGTGTGTGTGGCCGCCGTGGACAACAAGGGTCTCTACTGAGCAGCCGAGGAAGCCCCCGAGCTCGCACAGGACTCGATCAAAAACCCGTCCGCTCTCCGAGTCGTCCAGTATGCCATCCAGCACGCCGTATACCATGTAGAGCAACGGTGCCTCAGGGAAGACATCAGAAGTCCAGTGGAACTTGGGGGTGCGACTCCCAGAACAACGTGCGCTCCTCGTCCGCGCAAACGACGAGGTCCTCCTCGACCCATGCAATGGCATGACGCCAGGTGCGCGTGAATGCAGGGTGGTTTAACTTTGGATTAGGAAGCAAAATGGTACGGAATGAAGGGATTTGGCGCCTAACTTCAAGTTCGCTCGGGCTTGGCAGTGTTGGATCCTCGACGTACCACAGCGAGTATACGATGATCTCCAGCGAAAGGCGGGTATACCTCGAGAGCGAGACGTGGGTGGTGACATTCGAGATGTCAGCTGGTAGGCCAGAGAAGTGAAAGGACTGTGAATGACGCAGTGACACGATACGGTCTGCTGCTTCTCCGTGTTCGTGGTCGCAAAATAAATTGTCGTAGAAGTCGTCATATTGCCAGGAGAAGTGTTGTAGAGACTTGCATGCTTCGAGCATGTCGAGGAAGGCAACGAGGCAGAAGCGATGAGCACCGGACTGGTTGATGTCACGAAGACGCAGCGACGTCAACTGGGAGAGGTAAGGCGGTCCAATCCATGTCAATGGTAAAGCCATCCAGCGATAAGTTCTGGAGAGTAGGGAGGTGCCTCGACGCCAACGTCAAGGAGTGCTGGGAGGTCATAGCCAAGGACAACGACATCAATCGAGGCAGGGATGCAGTCAGTATTGGCAGGAATGCGGCCACATCCCCATCGGAAAAAAGGGAGAGGTCGACGTATGAAACCTGTGCGCAATGCGGCTCAAGCAGAGACACAAGCGCAGAGGTATTCTTCATTGAACGTGTATCGTATAGCCCGATTTCTGCGCCGGCCGAGCGGGCCAGGCAAAGCCGTACGAAGTGCACGGCCTTCGACAGGTCAATGCTGGACCACAGGAGGGGCGTGTTCACGACGACATCCTTCCAGTAGCGGCATACACCCATCAATCTGAGCACGACTACCATGTCGCGCCACGACTCGCCCTTAGCGCTAGCGAGACGGATGATTTCGACGACGATTTCGTTGGGGAGCATGGTGACGGGGGGAGGAGCCCGGTGGGTCACTAATTCGCGCGTCTTGTCCGTACCCATTGCGAAGTCGTACTGGGAAACAGGCAGTCAATACAGTACAGGTTGACGGGGGGCATACAACTCACTTTGATACACCGCC